GTATTCTTGCAGGGGAGGGCCCCATGTCTGTTTTTTAAAAAAAACTAATGCTAAAGGAATATATATGAACTCTAAGAGTTGGAAATATATACAGTTCATCCACTGGAAGTATTTGATTAAATAATATGTAGCAGTAAGCATATTGCATAACCCTTACCATATGCAGTATGATTAGTACACTTCATGGGTTCTTGGGTTGCATTGTCTATTTTAGGATCTTTGCACATATATGTTTGTACAATTAAGGAAAACAAATGTAAACCAAATTTCTGCAGAACTGTAAAAACTAGCATCATGATAGACTTGTTTTTAATCCAAAATTGTATTGGCCGAAGTAATAATATTTTCTTCTCTCACCCATAAAAACAAGAGGTACAGCAATATTTAAGTTGGGAAGCTATTTTAATAAACAGTATGGCCTTCTCTGGCCTGAAATCTTTCAATATTCTGGGACTAGAACTACCAGAATTTCCAGTCATAGCAGTTGTGGTAGTTCCTAGCACACCTGAAAGGCACCAGATTGGGGCAGGCTAAACAATAGGTTTAACAAGGTAATACACAATGGGTTTACGTATTATCCTACACTATAATTATCTGTTTGTCTTTACAATGCTGTATGAACTTAGCCACTGTGCTTTCTAAACCGTGGTTTATGGTGTGGGGTGATATGAAAAGCTAACCAATTATGCAACTAATACAAATAATCATGCTTGAGCAAACTATGCTGTACTACATATTAACTTAAATGATTAAGTGAAAGCAAGTTAAATTTAGGTTTTGTTCTGGCCCCATTACTTACAGGAATGTGGCTAAGTATAATGCTTGGCTCCCCAAATGTTGCACACCCTGAGTTATTATGATGTGTGAACCCAGCCACAAAGTTCTGCTCTAGATCTCTTTCCACTCATAAACTCTAGATTCACCAATCATGCTAAATTATGGTTTACTTACCCATGGTGTGTTCACTAAACATAATTGTCTGGGTTCATACATAACATAAACAATGGCTTACAAAGCACAATGGCTGAGTTTTCATAACATACTGTGCCAAAAGCAAACACACTATATCCTAGCTTAGCACAATGGGTGAATACAGCCATTGACTAGAGCTCAGAAAACCCAATTGTTACCAATGTTAATTAATTAACTGACTGTTCCAGGAAAATTTATCTGGACATTCTATATTGTAATGTAAAATAAAAGACAGAATAAAACCGTAATAAAAATATAAATGTATAACTAATAAATACTCTGATAAAAAAGAGTTAAAACTACACCACAGAGTTTTATATAATGGTTCTTACCAGGAAAATTTATCTGGACATTCTATATTGTAATGTAAAATAAAAGACAGAATAAAACCGTAATAAAAATATAAATGTATAACTAATAAATACTCTGATAAAAAAGAGTTAAAACTACACCACAGAGTTTTATATAATGGTTCTTAAATACTTTAAACTGCAAAAACAAGCAAACATTTTTTTAAAGAAATTGTACCAGATCTAAGAGGTAGCCAACATTAAAAAAAAAAAAAATCCATGTCTTTGGTTGTCCTCTTCTACTGTTTCTAATGAGGGCAGTATCTGAATAAGGGCTTTTACAGATAGCCTTAGGGTATGGGTAGGTCATAAGCTCTGCTGCATTACTATCCTTTCCTCAACATCACATCTCTCACTGTCATCATGGATATTCAATATCATACACTGCACCAAGGAGAAAAAGGGTCCAGGTTTTTGACAATGGAACAGAGAGCCTTATCTAGTCTGCATTCTCCTTCACTGAGTTTATTCAAGCAAAGGCTGTCAAAGCATATGTCAATGATGCTGTGGTTCAAATATATAGCTCTCTAATGTTGTTGGAACTATGATTCACAGATTTCTTCACAGCTTGCAATGCTGGCTTGTTCAGCAACATCTGAAAGGTCACAGGTTTCTCAGATCTGCTAACTGCATTCTGTATTGCAAGAGTTCCAAAAAGCAAATCGTTCGATTTGATCTCTTTTCTTACATTATGATTCTATGGAGAATCAAAAGTGCCAATTCTCCTGTAACATGTCTAACCTCTCTTTCAGTTCAGTCATAGGCAAGTACACTGTGAAGTCTCTTAGTAAGTACAACCTTACATAACTTTCCTTTGAGTAAGCCCGCTGAATATAATGAATCTCATTTATTACAAAAAAGTATAATTTAACAATACAGTTTTATAATGCCTGCCCTGACCTAATGAAGTACATTCAACACCTTTCATTTTTAATAATTTAAGTCCTTGAAAACACTTGCTTCTAGTGCCTTTTCCTTCATAACCCATATGTGCGATACAGAAGTGTGTATCATTTTCTGTTTCTATTATTAGTTTCCATCTTCTCTAGAAATGAAATGTTCTGTAATCTCTGAATACTAGGTACTATCCAAATTCAATCTACTGAACTTGATGGGACTTAAGGCACTACTAAGAGCGCAGATATAAACTTTTATTTGACAATGATTATTTTACAATACTGTGTAAAAATATATAAAGTGAAGGAAAGTGTTAAATTTACTCCAGATTATGCTTTACATTTATTTGAGAGAATTCTTATTATTGGAGTGGTTAAAAGTGTAAAAAAAAATGAATAAATTAATTCACTGAACTGCCTTATGATTGGTTAGTTTTACTTTTAATTTTTCTACTCCATTTTTATTTTATCTCTTTCAGTTACACTTGTGTTTACACTGATTTTTAAATGCACAAAGTTGAGTGAACGTGGTGGGACAGAAATACTGCAATAAATAACAAATTAAAGTTAACACTCAAGCAACCATTAATTTACTTCTCTGTTATATGCAAAATTATTGGCACTAAGAATATGCCTCAAAGGCCTCAGAAATAATCAATTTATCTTGTAACAGATTCTTGATTTCATTTTATTAGTGTTCCTTAAAATCATACCCTGAATGAGTTATGTCAATTCCAAATATTACAAAACAGTCACCACACTGCTTCCTATGTTTCAATAATTATTTCTTAACCTTGCAACTCAGAGTGGGGAAGTACCAAGGGAGATCACCACAGAAGGGACCTTGAGGTCCTTGAAGGAAAAGCAGGATAGAAATCCATCAATAACAATATGAATTCTCACTGCTACCGAGGCTGCAAATTTGTCCCCTTATGTGGTCGCCAGGAGTTGAAAACGACTTGATGGCACATAATCAATCTGATGTCAGGCATGAGCCTGATCACTGATGGTAAGTGATTTAAGCTAAGTGGGTAGATTTATTCCATGCTCAGCCTGTTTGGGGATACCAGATTGGGGTTGCTACTATGCCTATGGCCAGTCAGTCCTTGATTGTAGTCAATGGCCAGTATTCCATTTAGGGCTACTGTATGCCTTTTACAACTGCACGAGTGTGACTCAACAGGTGCAGCTTCTCCCGAGCACCCGGTTCATTTTGCCTCGTGGCCCTTTTAGAACACAGAGCGCCATCCCCCCTTCCTCGCCCCACTGCAAAGCCCATCACCATGGTGACCGGGTTCCCTTGGCGTCCTTCCGCCTTCAGGATATTGGCCGATTCGCAGATCTTCGCATTTCAATGGAGGATCGTCGCTCGCCACACCTCGAGCTGCGAAATAAGCCAGCCACAAGGTTCCCAACGGCCAGAGAGGTGTCATGCTGCCTGTCTTCGCTTGACAGCGGCTTCCTCTGCCAGGTGGCCCTGTTGGAAAATAAACCACCGCCGCCTCCTCCTCAGACGGTCCCGTAGTCCTTTCGCGAAACGCTCGACGCCATTCCAGAGCGCGCGAAGAAGGGCAGAAGAGGCGGAGCGGCTCGTCTCGGAAATGGGGAATCGCCTTGCCCGTAGCAAAGATGGCTACCGTTTTCCACCGTTTTCCTAGGGCTGAAGGTAGAAGCCGCCGGCTTCTTTTCGAGCAATGGCTGCCAGAGACCGCAAAATGGGAAGTCGAGCGCCCTTACTAAAAATGGTTACTCGAGTGCAAAGCAATGGGAGGAAGCATTCTGGGATTGACCTAAAAGAGAGATTTTGGGGGCGGAGAAATTTAGCCGGCTATTTCCTTTTGCTGCGCAACGTTTTGAATTTCGCAGTTGCAGTTCGTTGAGCGAGCCTTCGTGAAATACATCGAAGTACAGAGCGAAGCAAAATGTACCCATTCACATATAATCCATTGTGATCTCCTCTCCATTAATTTATAGGTACACACAAATTGTTGGGGGGGGGAAGTTCGGTCATAATTATTCTGTTGGGTGTGTACAGAGGCATGCTCTCGCCTGATTTTACTTTCAGGTGGACCCCGGGTTAAAAATTGGACCCCTGAAGGATCCACCCATGTTTGATTCCATGGATCGGGGTTTTTCCTAACGCCCCCCCCCCCCCCCCCGCCAGCTGTAGGGAAGCCAGGGATTGTCCAGTTGTTGTAGGCTTCCAAGTTTTTCCAGGCCAACCAACCCTAATCATAACAAATAAATCTTAGCCAACCTCAGCCATGGGGCTAACGGGTTTCCCTTCTTG